CAAGAAGTCGGGCGCCATCCCGGGCGACGTGCAGAGCTACGGCGCCTTCGTCCAGCCCTCCACCGGACAGCTGCAGTTGTCCCAGTACCTGCAGCAGCTGGAACAACAGCGCCAGCAGCAGGAACAGCAGCAACGTGCATATAACAAAACAGTTCAGCACACAACCACAAATACCTACAACACCACGGAGACCAACACGAAGCAGCTGAAGCACCAGGTCCAGGGCGTTGACACCGTGAATTACCAGATCAGCGGTGAGCGAGGGCGCCCAGGCAGCCAGAGGGTACAGCAGCAAGTCCAGAGGCAGCAGCAGTCTTCCCAGTCGGAAAACAAGAGCCACAGCGCCAGCAGCAGCAGCGCCAGCTCTTTCCAAAGCAGCCTCGGCGCCAGCCAGGGATACTTGCCCCCAACCAACCAACAGCCAGTCCAGCAGCAGTACCAGCAGCGCCAGCAGTCTTCACAGCAGTCCTCTCAGTCCTCGAAATCGAGCAGCAGTTCCGAAAAGAGCAGCGCCAGCTCCTTCCACAGCAACCTCGGAGGCGGCCAGCGTCAGTACCAGAACTATCAGCAGCAGTCCGCTCAGTCAGCAAAGTCCCACGATAGTTCCAGCAGCAGCAGCTCCAGTTCCTTCCAGAGTAATGTCGGGGGAGTCCGCGGGTATTCGCCGCGCCAGCAGGCCGTGCAGCAGCGTGTCCAGCAGTCCGCTCAGAGCTCGAAGAAGAGCAGCAGCAGTAGCAGCAGCAGTTCCAGCTCGTCCTTCCAGAGCAACTTGGGGAGCCTCCAGGGTTACCTCCCTCCCTCAAACCCAGCCAAGCCCAGCACGGGCTACGGCGTCCCCGGGCCCTCCACCGCGAGGCCCTACCAACCCCGCCCAACCACGCCAGTTCCCTCGACGGCCAGACCGTACCAGCCGAGGCCAACTACCCAAAGACCTATTACAGCCAGACCCTACAGACCTGCACCTACAACCCCAAGACCTTACCAGCCTGCTCCTACAACCCCTAGACCTTATCAGCCTGCACCTACAACCCCTAGACCTTATCAGCCTGCACCTACAACCCCTAGACCTTATCAGCCTGCACCTACCCCTAGACCTTATCAGCCTGCACCTACAACTCCTAGACCTTATCAGCCTGCGCCTACAACCCCTAGACCCTATCAGCCCACAACCGCAAGACCCGTCCCCTCCTCGCCACGTCCGAGCCAGAGCTACAACCTACCTTCCTTCGGCAACGGAGCCTCAGCTTCTTATTCGTCCCAGAAATCCCAGTCTTCGCAGCAATCCCAGGCCTCCCAGTCTTCTCAGTCCTCCTCCAGCAGTTCCAACTACGGAAACGGCGCGGCCTCACACAGTTTCTTGTCCCAGTCAGCCTCCAGCAAGAAATCGGATTCATCTAAGAAGTCTCAGTCGAGCTCCAACTTCTCCTACAACTCTGGAAACAACGGAGGCGCAGCGCAGCAATCCGCTCACTCTTCGTCCTCTTCCTCCTCTTCCTCTTCTTCTTCTTCTTCTTCGTCTAAGCAAAGTAGCTTCAGTGGGTTTCACGGCGCAGGTGCTGCTGGCGGAAGTGGCTTGAGTTTCCCAGGCTTCGGCTCCTCTCCCTCTCCTCCAAGCTACGTCCCTCCTTCAGCCCCCGCCACCGTCGGGCCCCAGTACGGCACTCCTGTCCCGGACGTGCCAGACTACGACGAGCCGGAACCCTCCTACATCGACGGCGTGGACTCCAGCGACTCCGGGTTCTCGGTCCCCGCCGCTGAGCCCCACCTCGACATGGACGGCTGGGTCCCCCTCTCGAGTGACTACAGCCCGCCCTCCGACCCGCAGTCCTTCGCGCCGCCCACGCCCGAGCCGTCCCCCAGCCTCGCCTTCCCGGGAGTCGCTCGAGGGGGCGCCAAGGACTTCGTCTACTCGTCCAGCCAGAGTTCCAGCTCGGAGGAGAAGAGCAGTTCCCAGCAGAGCCAGCAGTTCAGTTCCTCCTGGAGCGGGGTGGGTCCTCAGCAGGGCTTCACGCAGCAGCAGAACCAGCAGCTTCCGGACTGGGTCGCGCAGCAGTACGGCGGATAAGGCAGAGATCCTCACAATGCTCATGTTGTAAAGATGTGTAGTAATTAGCGAAAAAACCCAAGCTACGACAGGTAGTATTCGTTTCCATGGTTCGTTTTGCAGCTTTCTTACACTCCTCATTGCAGGAAAAGACAAAGATCCAAACAAAACAAACAAACTCCACAAGGGACGCTCATCAAATGTTTTGCAGTTTCAAAAAATTCTTTGCATAGTATCAATTCGATGTTCGTATCGTAAAGTTAGCTCTTAAAATGCAGTATCGTCGTTTATATAGATTTAAAAAATAATATATACGAAGACCCCAATACACGCTTGCTCCAAAAAGACATTTCACACACTGCTCAAAACTCAATGCTTTTTTTTCGCTTCAGAGACTGCAAATCTTAACCCTGACCACAAACATACACTTTATATCACACATTTATCCGTGTTTTT